GGGCATAATTTGTAGGTAAACAAGACGAAAAATCATATTTTAAACTTTCATTTTCAATGAAAAAATTAAGAAAACCAGTCATGAGTATGGGAGTTTTTTCCCATATCAGACAAAGTAAATATATCCAGATTGCCTACATTCTCTCAGAAAACGGTATTTTGTGTGTTCTTAGTCTCTCTTTTAAAATAATATTAAATTGGATATAGGTTTCGGGATTACTTTTCACATGATTTCAAATTGAATTCCAGGAAAATACTTTATTTTCTACATGATTCTATTACAGCTGTAAAGTACGGGAAAAAAGAAAGTTTAATTTGATTAGGACGTCATAATGGATCTAGCATCAAAAAGGCAGTCTAAAATCATTTACTAGATCTTGACCTTAAGACTTTTTTTCATAAAAATAAATAAATAAATATATATATATATATATATATATATATATATATATATATATATATATATATATATATATATATATATATATATATATATATATATATATATATATAAATTAAAGTTTTTGATGACAACGTGTATCATCAATAAAGGACAGATCTGAATGACAAATAGTTTGCAATCTAATTTTATTTAGGCAGGAGATAATCCTTATTTTTCTAGTTTATGTAGATATTTGGTCAACAGAGAATAATTTCTTTTTGCAATACATGTACATATATAGAGAGAGAAATATTCTTTGTGACATCCAAATGTATTGAAAAAATGGTACCGGTAAATAGTTTTGACTTTGATCGGGTGAAAATAACCAATCCGATGGACTTCAATGTAAATGTATTTTGTATCAATATACATCAAAATTGTTCATCAAGCATTTACTAATTAAATTAAGACTAAAAGAAGAATTGTTTTTCTACTATCTAGAATCTTGATTTGTGAGTCCATGGAAACAAAAGGAAAGCTGAGTCTTTTTGGCAGGTGAGTTGAAACTTCCTGTATTAGCCAATGAAGAAAGCATACATGTACATTCAATTTGAATTATATAGTGTCATTGTAGAAAACATAAAATACTCATTATATTCATTGTATTAACTCAAATAGTTTTTGAAATCAGTGGAGAACACACTTGTGATTCTGTGTTTCAGGAAAAGAATGGAAGTGCTATTGATATTGGTTTTTATTTAACGTCCCATTCGAGAATATTTCACTCACATGGAGATGTCTTCATTACGCGAAGTGCCTAAACTTTTTACTTATAGAAGGCACCTAGGGCCTTAGCAGTGTAAGATCTTTATCGTGCCCACCTACGGTGACACTGAGCGTCAAATTTTAAGGTCTCATATAAAAGATCCGAGACTTTTACCTCAAAGGAAAGGTGCTTGACGAAGGAATATTCGCTACCTATTAAACGTCTTAGGTTTGATGCGATTCCGGGAACGAGAATCGAAACCGGACCTCCAGATCAAGAAGCAAGAGTGCTTCTACTAGTCCATACCGACCGGTAATTTCTGTATTTGGAATCACTCATAAAGAAATTAACATACTGCACAAATTATTACAAGTTCTAGATTTCTTACCAAATTGACACTGGTATCCCTGATACCCGGGTTCACACAAATGGCATATACCTGTCTCTATATGGCAATTATGACATTTGTCAGGACAGGGAAGAGAACAGTTGGGTCCGTAGTATCCAGTCTTGCAACCTTTAAATAATTAAAGAACATTTAAACATAATATATTTAAACTTATAAGTCCTTCCTCTTGAAGCAGATTCATAATAAGCATACAAATGAATGATTTTTTTATATTAGAAGACGCCTATGTTAAACTGAACATGATGTGATATCATTTAATGTTTGCGTCATTGTGGGGATCTGTATGTTCTCTAAGGATACGACTCGGAATCCAAATTCTAGAATGGGCTGTGGTGTGTTTTGTAGGTGCTGATACTATGCATTGACCAAGTATGCTGGAGAAAATATCTATTGCAGTAGCTATCCTAACCCACAGATGTGATATGAGAAATAACGTTCCTGATGTTATAATGCGTGTGTTTCCAGGTTGCCCCTCTAATTTTAGTTCCGGTTTGTTGGTCCCAAAGCTGGCATAGACAAAAAATCAATCTCTAGTTGACTTTGTAGACTTAAGGAACTGGATACGCGGACTTTCCAGCTTTAAGACATCACAAAGCAATAATGCTGTTGATAAAATCTACCTTCGACATTGCAGTATCTCAACCTAGTGTTATTTAATACATGTATCTAATTATTTTTAAAAGTTCTCAACAAAAATTGTTCCCATTTTTAATCCGAATCAGTTACGGATGATCGCACATCTTATTTTGTCCTTTAAAATGTACTTACAGATAAATTGAAAGCAAAAGATATCAAAATAACTCTTGCTCAAATTTGTTTTAAGAAAGTCATATAGATCAAGAATTATAATATGCTTGTTTTCTTTTTCTGATGTAGTACAATGTATATCTATACATTTTTATATATTAAAAAAATAGAAAAAAATATAAGATTTTCTGTTTTAAAGCTTAGTATACAACATACCATATACTTCCACCTCACATATCTCATTATGTGCATACTTAGAATATCCATCTGGATAAGTAACATTTTCCAATCTTTCGTTATAGTAAATGACGTATTGTCCATCCACAAGACAGGTAATATTGGCGACGGGAGGTATCGTTAATCTGGTATAGTCTGTATCATGGAAACATAAGTGACCATCTTTTCTGTCTGTTGTGTTAGAAATATAAATAGAGAACCCCAGAAATCTTTTTGCGTGGGTATTGAATGCATCTGCAATTTAAAACAATCTGCTTCATTATCAAACACTTACTTATTTATGAAAACTCTTTATACAGTTTTCAAAAAAAGTCATTTTGAAACTTTGGAGCTATTATTGTTATTATTAATGTTGTTTTTTGTAGGTCTCATTATATTATTATTGCTTTTTTTTTTTATTTCTTCTCCGGTAGCATTTGCTTTGTGATCAGGTGACCTGGGTTCGATTCTTGTTCACCGTGTCGCATCCAAGCTAGCACAGCTAGTGACCGTTTATATGTCAAGCGCACCGCACTAGAAGTGAAAGTCTCAGGTCTTTCGGATGAGACATTAAAAACAGAGATCCAGTGACATGGTAGGCGTTGGAAAGATATAGAACCCTCGCTGCCCAATGGCTTTGAATGCGAAGTATAGGTCTAAATTTAAAGCCCTTCATCGGCGTCTCTGTATGAGTGAAAATTTCTCGAATCAATCAATCAATCTTCTCCGGTACTTTTTTGTCCGCGATTGTTCCCTTAAACTGCTCATCCAATTGAGTTGATACAATTTTATAGTTAATAGGCATGTTCTATAGATGTGCTCGTCGAATATAATTTTGTGCGCGCATGCATGCACATGCGAGCGCGTGTGATGTGTAAAATGATTGATATAATTGAAAAGACTTTTTTTGTTTTCTCTATATCTTCTTAAATGCATTAAAACTCAAAATATGAATATCTCTAAGTAGTATGCACAAGACGATGTTGTTACTATAACGGGAGACCCTTTGGCTGATATTGGTGTCTGGAGCTTATACAGGAGTGATATGAAAAGGGTATGTTTGTTTGATTGAATCTCGTTTAACGTCCCTCTCGAGAATTTTTCACTCATATGGAGACGCCACCACTTGCCTGTGGAGAGCTGCAAATTTTGTCATATACTCGGCACTTACAGCCATTGAGCAGTGAGGGATCTTTTTCGTGCCAGCACCTACTGCGACACGGGACCTCGGTTTATGCGGTCTCACCCGAAGGACCGGTCTCCACGTCCTACAGTGGGATTCGAACCCGCGACGTAAGGATCAACTCCTTATTCCGCGACTCTAAAACAGATGCTCTAACCACTGCGCCATGCGGGCGACTGAAAACGGTATATATTGTTTTCTACATACTAATGTATTATTGTTGATTTGAATTGATATATGTTCATTTCATGATAACCTAGTCAACATTTATCAAGTTGTATTTTTCAAGTAATTGTGTTCTGTAGTTACTGATCTGTAGAAAAACATAATAACATGTACATTGTGCGTGTTTTTTTTTTTATCACACCCTGTATCAGCCCTTGACCCAAATCAGCCCATGGGTCTTCGACCCTCTTGTTTATATCGGTGTCCTGGGCTAATACGGGATGTGGTTTCAAAAAAGGTATGTATTCTTCTCTCTTTAATTATAGATTTTCACATATCTGTACTCTTGATCAAGAGATTCTTCAATATTTTTTTTCGTACAAACTGGAAATAAGAAAAGCATCGATGACAATACTATTTTTAAAGTGAAAAACATTGCTGGAGACCGAATAACGTTTTGGTAGGCGTGTAATTTTTAACCTCCTAACACTTAGTAAAATGTAACGAAAATACCTTTTCCAAGCAGTGTTTAAAAAATGAAAATTGTGGTAGAGTACTTTTTGAAATCTGAGACAAGCTTCGTATGTTTAATGTTAACTTTTGCAGTTCACTTCTTCGTTCTATTTCAAAATACATAAGAGGTAGATGAATATTACAATAATTCGCCATTTCTTCTTTATTTTTTTTCCCTTGAAAGGAATATTTGGTTTTTCTCAAAGGAAGAAAAAGATATGTGATAGTAAATCTACTACAAACATAATAATGACAGATTAAGACCAAGTTACTATCCACAAACTCACATATCTAGGTTTACATTTTTTAATTATTTATTTTATCATACCATTTTTGCAACAACCACAAAGTTGATTATCACGAAAAGAATCGAAACAGTTACAACAGAAAATGTATGAAAATATATAACTTGTGGAAGAATGAAAAAAGAAATAAAGAAGCTTGCTGTTTATTTTTAAAATTTATTGCAAAATGATCGCCTTAGGATTCAAATAATCTAAAGTTTAAATCAAAGAACTATATTATTATTATTAATACTTAATCCTGAAGTATCAGGACTTAAAACTTAAAAAAACCATTTTGACACGTTCTAAGATAATTTTGTCAGAAAAGATACTTACTCCATACATCATTATCTGTCTTGTAATATATCCTTATGTCATGGATGCTGTAGACTGATGTCAGGTTTACCCACCAGGTGGCAGTTCTGTGTTTTACAGCTGATATAACACATTGTCCTCCCAGTTCAGTTAGGTTAGACTTCAGACCATCTACGGCATTGCTGGAGTCATATATGTCCTCTAGTTTTAAAGGATTTGATTGCCATGTTGGTTTATTCAGGGCAACATTGACTAAAATGGCAAAAATCTTCAGTTGATATGGATTATTAATAGCTTAAGAGAGGGAAATTATATTTAAAAATAAGTTTTTCCTACTTATGACTTTGAAAAAAAGGGGAAACTCCAATTCAGCTCTAAATTATGTAGGATTTTGAATCTAGTTGTAAAAAAAAATAATCTATACAATATGTAAATCTTTGCAGGCTGATGATTCAAAGTTAAACGAATACATTATTTACTTAGACAATTGCATAAAATATGAATTTTCCTGTCCCTTTGAGCTTTAAAAGGACAGACAATGCTAAAAAGAATTGATTGTATGATAATGTTATACCCAAGTAAACTCAAACGTGCAATAGAATATACTATATTGCGTTAAAATTTATCATGTATATTGTAAAAGAGTACAAGGATCTGATTTCTGTCTGCATGATATTATTTTTATTCATAACATAATTTAAGAGAAAAATGAATTTTTAGCTGTTGCATACATTTTCAGCGAATCAATGAGTACTTCCAGAACAGCACAAATTAACTCCAAGCACTTTTCATGTGCAGTTGCATACATTTTCAGCGAAAAATGAGTACTTCCAGAACAGCACAAATTAACTCCAAGCACTTTTTATGCGGATTGTTCCTCTTTTAATGTGTATCAATTCTTTATCTAAAGACATGCGTATTCTCGTGCACTGGCGTCATTTTTTTTCTATATCCAGACTAAGAATTCTATCTTACTCAGCTATGTTAAGGAAGGCATGAGTTCACATCAGTGATGCACCGTATGTGAAGTTTCATTGTGACGTCATTGAAAATTTAACAAGCGACAGAAATATATTTAACCACATGGTTTTGCGTAAATAAGATCTTGCATTTATTTATTTTATCAATTATTTATAAAAGCATGTAAAATCACAACATCTGATAACTATACTGCCAAGTTATTAGAAGGAAATCTTGCTTCATAAATGACGTCACTAGCCTTGAGTTGACGCAGTACAAGTGATCTAGAGGAGTGGATCCATTGGTTTAATAATTACAAAAATGCTTGAATAAATATTAAACCATTGCCAATATTTAAATCTAATCAATAAAATTAAAAAGTAAATAATTTATTTAAAACAATAATGTAGATTATTAATATATCCAGTTAATATGAAGCTGCACAAAGACAAAGAATGTAAAGAATATCGCTAACACGATGAGTGTATAACTGATTAGCCTCAAAAGTGCAAGGGCATAGACTAAACTGTTTGAGCTGAAATATGGAATATCAATTGCTCATAGCATGTTTATTTTGAAAAATCCTGGGAGCTGATTCTGGTCGGCATAACATTATTTTTATTCATGACAGAATTCAAGCGAAATGGAAATTCTGGGCTATTAAACGCATTTTCTGCAAAGTTACGGGTATTTTCGAAACAGCTCAAACTAGCTCCCAGCACTCGTCGGGAAGCCGATGTTAATCGTTTTTAAAATGTATCATTTTTTTTCTCTAAAAACATGCGTATGGCCTTGCACTAGCCCCATTTTTTACATTCAGCTGAACAATTCTATTTTTATACAAGTCACGTGACACACAGCTGATACATGCGATGTAACTGGTAACGAGTAAGCCACAAACCTATCCATTTTGGATATCCATATTACCTTTCCTACATTTTTACAGTTACTTGTTACAAAGATTTAAAAAACAAAATGTGTATTATGTACTAATTTAGATCGCATTTTCCATTTCCTTCCTAACATAGCCGAGTAATACTAATCACGCGGCGGCACAAAACTGATGTCTGCGCTTAAATTAGATAAATGCACTGTTTCTCGAAGGCCGTATTTTCGAGTCCTCGTTGAAACTTGATTTTCATCACCAGTAATATTTCTTTGTAAGGTAATTGAACATTTAATGCAATGACGAAAATTAATTTCGATAACCAAGAGTTAGAAATGCGTTTTTCTCCTCTAAATTAAATATTAAGAAATAAGGAAAAAATAAAATTATAAAAGATTATACATAGTACATCTACTACTGTTAATTCACCGATGGAAACAAACAATTTCTTGTCGAAATCAAATTAACCTCATTCACTTTGATATACCTGAAGTACATATGAAATCAGAAGATCAACAGTGCACAATTTTTATCACGCTGAATGACAATACTGACACCCTCTTCCGATTTCAACAGTACAAGTCGCTTAAATGTATTGTAATAAATATTTAGAACATAGGATATCATTATGGGATTTTAATACTTTGGTTTAGCTTTCATTCCTCACAGGAAACTGTTTTATATCATTACAAACTTCAGTTTTTCTAATTGATATCCACCATAGAGGACGTTTTATTCAGGAATAATATCATTGCATAAGGCAAAATTTGTGAGACTTGCAGAACATCTTTCATACCAATAAATACATAAAATGAAGCTGTGTATTATATTTGAATGCTGTAATACTAGGATAATTGTACATAGCTTTATAAGGAATACAATGTATTATCTACTTCATTGCCTTTTATTACATAATTAACCATCTTCCGGATATGCAAGTAATGCAATAAACAACTTCTGGCTTGGTACTATTTTGCACTACTTAGTACTTGCCTACTTAAACAATACTTGACATAATTTCATTTCATACAAATTTCTTCCTCGGCATTAAAAACAAAAATATGGCACAAGCTTGAGGTTACAGACAATATCATTATCTTTAAAGTGGACACGAGCAACGGCAATAGTATACTAAATACATGTATCATATTTAAACAAAGAATCTGATTACTGCTTATCATGAGTGTTCACTGCTATATTTTTTTTCACTTGAAGTACTAGTAATTAAAAGCCTCGTATGATCGTAAATACCTCGCTGAATAGATTTTCTTAAAAAAAAAAAAAAAAAAAAAAAAAAAAAAACACACACACACACAAAATGCAGCAAAAGTCATGCATTTATGAAAAATTCTGAACAAAAATATGTTGAATTTTGTCAAGTATCTATCTGGAACCTTTTGATATTGTGTTTCTTTTTACTTTTTTTTTTTTTTTTTTTTTTTTTTTTTTTTTAATTTTTATTCACTTATACATTCAATAATATTTAGCTAAAAGGCAAGTTTAGGTTTTTGTTATAATAAAAAAAGGGTGGAAGGGGAATAGACTGTGGAATTTTGTAAATATATATATTTCTATAAAACAAATGTGCTGATAAAAGAAATCATTTATTTTGCAATAATAGTATACTTTTGATATTCATGGTTGACAGTTTACTCTTTAAGGTCGTAAATAGCTCCTTCACTTAGAAAGATCATAACTTATATGAACAAGCATTAGATTGTTCCAGATTAAAAATATATCCTGGTCTCTGCAGTGAACGATTTCTGAGAAACCTATGCCTGTCATGTCAGAATTTTAGGTTTTTAAATAACTTATTCTATAGCATGCTATGGAATTTTGGCATGACTGAGAACGACGCCTTTAGAACAGATGATAGAAACGGGGGAAAAAATATGTTTGAATTGATATATATATATATATATATAGTTTTGGATATTTTGGTTGTAAATAACCAAATATAAAATTACAAGAATATTCAGAAATTGTAGATTTTCCATGGGAATAAAAATTCTACTTTTTCTGTCACCCTTAGAAATCTATACAAGTTTTTAATAGTTTAGAGGACATTACTTTGAAAATCTGAAGGAAAAATAAGGAAAAAAAAAACTCATCCATCTTACTTATTTTAACATAACTTTTGATGCTATTTTCATGATTTTTGAAAAAAAGTTTGTTTTTACCAACTGTCCTTAATGCCAAACACAGGATGAAACTCTGCCAGTCAGTTAACTGAAAGTCTGTGGAGAGACGACTGAATGAAAGAGCTCTGCTATTCGGTGACTTTTCTAGACCAATCAGTTAACTGAATGGTTTCGAGCTAGTCTCCAAAACTTTATAAATAGCTATTATATTTATTCAGTTGAGAGAGAGAGAGAGAGGAAGAGAGAGAAAGATATCAAACAGAAAAAAGGTATTTGTTTACTTTCAAAAGGATTGTTTGTTCGTTTATTTGTATGTTGTTTAACGTCCCTCTCGAGAATGTTTCACTCATATGGAGACGCCACCAGTTGCCGGTGGAGAGCTGCAAATTTTGTCATATACTCGGCACTTACGGCCATTGAGCAGTGAGGGATCTTTTTCGTGCCAGCACCTACTCCGACACGGGACCTCGGTTTATACGGTCTCATCCGAAGGACCGGTCTCCACGTCCCACAGTGGGATTCGAACCCGCGACGTAAGGATCAATTCCTTACTCCGCGACTCTAGACCAGACGCTCTAACCACTGCGCCACGCGGGCGACTCAAAAGGATTGAAATTATATTGAATAATGCCTCAACGCATCGTTATGATCATCGAAGAGAATGCAGTTTTAAATCACTTTCATTAAAACCATTGAATGCATGGATTCATCAAAGAATTTTTTCAACGATATGCGTTATTTTATAGGGCACAGTAAACATTTTCTGCTTGATAAAAATACCTCTTATGGCATGCATTAGTTAGCATGATGTGTATAATAACTGTTTAAAAAAAGAATCAATGAATTTCTTTTTTAATAAGTAAAATTAACTTACCATAAGCACGCGTACATCCGATCACCAATGCTAAGCAGTATATTCTAACACTAATGAACACCATTTCAATAAAAATCTGTAAAGTCACTAGAATGCAAAGTAATTAAAAAAAATATCTGCTGAGAGTGAATATTGAACTATTATTCTGATGGCAGAACACTTCATAGTAACTAAACAATAATATACTTTAATGAGTGTTTCATTGAATATAAATCTACGTAAAACGTTTTTGCATTTTTAAGAAAACGGAAGGAAGTTATTTCCTTTATGATGCATGTAACATTATATAAACTCAAATAGTTACATTTAGATAACTAACGATGTGATCTTCTTCTTAACCCATGGCAGGATATGACTGTTGCATAAAACAGGTCCCATTTATCACATTTTCCATATTTGGAGTTAATTATGGCTTTAAAATTAATTTCAAATTAGTATCAAAGTCTATTGTTGTTATCATTGAAATAAGGTTTTTATATGAAATATATGAGAAAATAGTCAATGAATGTAAATATTGTGTAAAAACACAATGATTGAATTATTTACAAATGGTTCATGTTTGTTGCATTGATATTGAATTATTAAAGATTCCAAACCTTGGGTATTTTGCACTTCTAAAATGTGCGGTATTTACCTGAAGATTCTACAAATACCTTTAACATTGTACAAAATATAAAGAAGAACGTACACCTGTTTAGGGGGCAGAACGTGCAATATGCGTGGGCGTGTGAGAGTTATATCGACGTAAAGTTGACGACCTAACGAAACGAAATAGAGCCATCGGATTTTTTTTTTTTCAGTTTTAGTGTGAATGTAACGATTATAATTGCCTACTGTAATTAAATCAGTTTTAGTCGTGATGCCGTTGTGATTACAAAGGTGGAAGGATGAAAAGCCCTATGCTGATGGAACGCTGTTACCCGTCAAACCATTCCAGTTCTTCTCTGACAACAGATTAAATATTCTACGGTCGAAAAATTAATTATAAACTGCACAACAACATGTTCTTGTGCTTTTCTTAGGCAATTCTAGACCCAATGGAACTTTCGTCAGACTTATCATGGTTGCCAGAAATTCATATTGACTGTAAATACGGAAATGTGTTCACCAGCAGTGCATCAAGTGGTACTATAAAACATGTTAACAAACTTGCCATCATCAATATGCACGTGTTTTTGTTTTTTTTTTTTTTTTTTGTTTTTTTTTTTTGGTCACTTTTCCTATGTGACATCATACATTTCATGGTTGAGTAATTTTAAACAGTAACATAATTCCGACCAGTTTCATAATTTTTGGCCGATTAGTAAAAAAAGGTTGAATATTGTGTTACCATAATTTTCTTTTTCTTCATATATATATATATATATATATATATATATATATATATATATATATATATATATATATATATATATATATATATATATATATATATATATAATTCTAGTATACTAAAAAAATCGATCATTGCGCTTTAATGAAAAGATTAGCATCATTCATTTATTCTTTCTTTTAAGCTCTTGTAAGGTATGCTATATTTATTATTATCAGCCTATAAAGTCGAGGGTTTTTGCTTACCAATATTTTTTGGTTTTAATGCTGAACGATATAGCCTTTTCAGAAGACAGTTGTCTTTTTTTCACAATTTTTTTTTTTTTTTTCGAAAGACCTCTTCTGCACAGATTTATTGGAGGAAAAGCTCTGTAAATCCGGGGTAAATCACTTTACATTCAATTTGTAATATAATATAAAAAAAGTAGAATGTGTGCTATTTTCCAATATTTTTCAATATTAATTCATTCCTGATAGCATTCATATATCGAGAAGGTGGTAGTTGCAACTTTAACATTTGCATTAATAGTAATGTCTTTTTGGAAAGAGTGCACTAGGTGTGGGGGGTGTTCTGTATATTTGGAATAGGAAATACATGAAAATTTGCTGATTTTTGTATTTTTTTACATCAAATCTTATGGAACTGTCGCAATTATAGCTACAGTGAAGCCAATATGCATATGAACAAATTGTTTCCAATTTCTCCATATGAATTGAAGGTAGCGCCCGAATATTATAAAACAAATGAAATGAGACAAATGAACTATGCTCGAATTTTAATGTAGAGTTATTTTATAGTAATTTCCGATTTTTCATTAATAAAATACACACATGGTTTTGTAAAATTTATTCATGCAGCTAAAGTTATGATATGAGCACAATGTAATGTTGAAAACCGTATTCCAACCGCAAATTTTAATGTGGCTTGATTCATTTGAAAAAAAAAAAAATTGTAAGATGAAAATTTCAACCGCATAAGCGTTCCGAATAGATTGCAATAAATTGTTTTTTTTTATTTATTTATTTTTTTTTTTTTATTATTATTATTTTTTTAAAGAAATTAAACCACGTCTTGCAAAGAAATGCAAGGTTCTTTTTTAATACAAAATCAGCATATTGTTGAAAGTCAATTAACTTCCGTAATAGTTTTCTTTTAAACTTCACGCACAGATTTCAAAAAGTAATGAAACTTATCAGAAAGTGACAATGGACACTACTATTATCGATTGTAGTCTAAATGAAACTGTTGTCTCTCGTAAAAATTGAACTTCCGTGACGGTAAAATGTTTTTGCATTAGAGGTATAAAAAATGTTTTTTTTTAGGAGGGGGGGACAAAATGCTTTTTACTGATGTTTAACATCCATCCCCCCTCCCCCCCCCCCCCAAAAAAAAAAAAACCCTTAATTTGAACTTTTGCTTAGAATTTCAACTTTAATTCCTGGAAATTAACTTCCGTAACGATTAACTTCCAGAACGAAATTTTTCCTGAGATTTTAACTTAATATCGGATTCATGCGATACTTCATGAATCATTCTTTAGCGTTCTGTACGGAACATCAGAAAACGAAAAGGTGGTCCAGGACCCAATACAACCCGTATAGAACAACAAACAGACATATATACATGCTTCAATAGAAGAGGACCTCACTTCATATATATTAATAATCGTTCAATTGTAAAAAAAAAAAAAAAAAAAAAAAAAAAAAAAAAAAAAAAGAAAAGAAAGAAAGAAAAGAAAAGAAAAAGAATAATAAAAAAAATTTCCAAAGATTCAGACCATAGGAAACAAATCCAGAGCTGCAGTTACCTCTATCACAGAGATATGGCTAGTCAGTTCCATTATTAACTCTGAAATAAATATTGATGGATACACTATCATTCAAAAGAACCAGAAGATGGAGTGGAATTTGTGCCTTTATACGAGAAGACATAGCATTTATCCAAGTAGAAATAATGGGTGGGGATGCTAAGAGTGATGAAGTGTTGTTCCTGGACATCTTATTACCAAAACTAAACCCATCATATAAGAAACTTGTTACAGGCCCCCCACAAAATCTAACTTCCTACAGAGACTTGAACATTTTCTTATTCAACTACGTCAATTTTACTTGGTGATTTTAACACATGTACTTTTAGTGTTAATAACTAATTTTCCCAATCCTATCATCAAGTTCTTACCCTCTTCGGTATAACCCAAATTATCAAAAAACCTACTTGAATTACAAACCCATCTAGGTCTCTTATTGACCACATTATCTGTAATAATACTAACAAAAATATCAAACTGGGATTATTTGTGTTGGGGTTAGTGACTACTGTCTTATTTATTGTACAAGACAAATAAGTGAAACCCTTTTTTTGAGAAATACCTTATTTTATTAAGATAAGGTCAACCAAAAATTATGATAAAGATAATTTTTACCAGACTTTTAACTGAGGCAGACTGGGAAAAATGTTTTTATGCTAGCAATGTCTGGCGTCTGGTGTGCTTTTACAGAATTTTTCATAAATATCATAGACAAAGTTGCTCCAAATAAAATAGGTTGGAATAAAAAAAATGAATCATGGATTTAAAGTGATATTTTGGAAAGTATACAATTACGGGATCAACAGCTTTGAATTTTAGAAAATCTTAAAATCAAGATGATTATAAAAGTTATAGTAAAAGTAGAAATTTGTTTCAAAGACTGTAATAATGCCAAAACAGAATATTTTAATGACAAAAATAGAAGAAAATAAGGACAACCCAAAGAAAGTTTGGTCCTGTTTAAAGAAGTTTGGATATCAACAAAATAAAAAAAAGAACCAAATGGTAAAACATGTATCACATTATCTATTAATGAAGAAAATTGCAAACCATTTTAATTTTCATTTCACTACAAAAGCAGAAAAACTAGTCAGTCAACTACCTACCTACTATGGTGTTTATAACTCTGTTTCAACGGCTGTCAAACATTTTTATGAAAAGAGGAAAAGTTATTATTTTTTTTTTTTGTTTGAAACATATATCTGAGAGTTTTGTTTTCAAAGAGCTACGTCAAATTAAAACCTCAGAAAGCACAGGACTTGATTATATCCCTGTCAGATTTTTGAAAGATGCTGCCCCTCAAAAAAGATTACCTATTACATACTTAATCAGTGTGTCAATATATGAAGAAACTGTGCCTGATGATCTAAAAGTTGTTTAAATAAAACCCTTAGTCAAAATAGGGGATGAATTAAAATCTGAAAATTATAGACCTGTAAGTATTCTACGCATTGTTTCAAAGATAATGGAAAAGGCATTTTACACACAGTTTGAAACTCTCCTCTTTGAAAAAAAAAATTGCTTTATGAATTCCAATCAGGATTTAGAAGTTCTTTTTCTGCTGACAGTTGTTTAATTTGCGTAATTAACAGATCACATCAAATCTAAAACAGCTCTACTGGAATGTTTTTTTTTAGATCTTCAGAAAGCCTTTGACTCAGTAGACCACTAAATCTTATGTGAAAAACCCCAAGTCATTGGTGTAAAATCAGTTGGATGGTTCAAACCTTACTTATCCAGTAGAAAACAAATTGTAAAAGTTAACAACACTCTTTCAGTTGTCAATAATATTTTCTGACGGGTACCTCAAGGCAGTATACTTGGGCCTCTTTCATTTTTATTGTATGTAAATGACTTCAGTGTCAGTATTGAATCTGAAAGCAAAGTTCTTTTATATGCAGGTGATACAGCTTGTTTCACACACCAATCCAGAAGGCTTTAGTAAAATGCTATCTGAGATGTTATAAGAATGCAAG